ATATGCAAATTTTAGTCAACCAAATATGCCCGTTTACACACACTACCCGATTTGTCTGTTTTTTTTTAGCAGAGTTGCAAATTTCACTTGCAATGTTCAGGCTAAATTCCCAAAAATGCCGACAAAAACTGGGGACTTGAGGGTACTGCGACTAACTTTTGAGGCATCCTATATACACATTTTAGTCAGCCAAATATGCCCGTTTACACACGCTAACCGGTTTGTCTGTTTTTTTTTCAGATGAGTTGAAAATTTCAGTTGCAGAGTTCAGGGTGGAATCCCAAAAATTCCAGCATAAATTGGGGATTTGAGGCTCCTGCGACTAACTTTTGAGACACACTATATAGAAATTTTAGTTAGCCAAATATGCCCGTTTATACACACTAACCGGTTTTTCTGGTTTTTTTCAGCAGAGTTGCAAATTTCACTTGCAGTGTTCAGGGTGAAATCCCAAAAATACCAGCATAAACTGGTAATTTCAGGCTACTGCGACTAACTTTTGAGACACCCTATATGCAAATTTTAATCGGTAAAATATGCCAATTCAAACACACTAACCGGCTGCCTGCGAGATTTTCCGCAGAGTTGTTAACTGAAGAAAAACTTAATTTTTAGCGCAATCATTCAAAAACCAAAAGTTGGATTGGGAAATTTAAAGCGTTAACTTTAAGCGCTTCAAGACATTCCGCCACAGAGTGGAATTCGAAAATTTCTAAACAAGCCAACTATTAGTTCATAATCCTTTTGGGACGCCCTGTAGACACCGCTTAATGCGCAAGATCAATTCAATGTTTTCTCAGGTTTCCTGGGCGACTGTCATATGAGAGCAACAAGGCAACGCTGAAAAACAGGACTAAAAGACTGAGAGCGAAAAGGAGTAGGAAAATGTGAAATGTGCAAATTTTCAGCACTTTTAAGCCTGTTTCTCATGCAGATGCTCAGACTCAATGGGAGCTTTTGGTGAAATTACAGAAAAATCGGAGAGTTTGGTATATTTCCACAATAAAAGCTGCTCGCGTGTTTAATCCTGCTGCAAGGCAAGAAAACTTACTTGCGTAGATTCGATGCCCGAATCAGTATGATAGATATTGTCCACACAAATCGAGTGATGGGACACATTGTCGGCACACTCAGGGAACACAAAACTCTGTCCATCCGCTTCACCCCTGGGCGAATCGGAACTCGGCCATACCTGCAACTCGGCATTGTTTAGACTTTGTGACTGATCTGGCAGCGCGGTGCGCAATTGAAATGCTCTGGCCGTCAGGAGAAGAGCGCGGCAACACTGCGCGGCGTATGAAGCAACGTTATGTGTTTTGAGCGATTTGCGACATTTTTCTTCAAATTTTCGATCAAATGCCAACTAATGAAAATACCAACCTGTAATAGAGGCAGTGAACAATTAGGGGCGAGTTTGGTGTCATCGGGAGGCGATTCGTAATCACCTTGCGAGCTGCTGCTGTTAGACGTTTTGACTGCCGACCAAAATCGCTTCAAGCCCAACTCCCTGCGTTGTTTCTGCAAGAAAATTAGCGATTTTTCCCGAAAAATTGTGTTTTGCATTCGATCAGTAGCTAGTGTTCATTGAACTCAACTTGTTTGAAATTTGTGGATTTTTCATACAATTTCCCCTCGCAGGTGCCTCCTGGATTTACCATTCACTCGGGAATATCCGCAATTTGATCGCTTCCCGAGCCTAAATATTTAAATATTTCCAGCCCTAAATGATGGGGCTTCACTGCGTATAATTGTTAAGGGGAAGCAGGTAAATGTGCCTCCCCATTTCACCTGGGTTTTACCATAAAGAGCGCGAGATTTTACGCCAACTTCGGGCTCAAAAGCGGTTGGGGAGACGAGTAGTAAACCCCCAGTGGGAAATCGATCAAGTAAAGTTTCCCCCGTTTAACTTATTCACCGCACCGTTCCAAACCTAAAACGCGCGAAACTACTGAAGGTCACGCCTTGCCTGGATTATCCAACAGGTGAGCAATTCCCCAAAGCATCCATTGTTTATGACTTATTCTCGAAAAAGCCACTGTGCTACTAAAATTAAAATCCCCCCAACAAATTTAAACCCCATCCTTTGCCTCCTTATTCTGCCGCCTCTGGCTGGCCAAAAATGCCAACAAAAACTGGGGACTTGAGGGTACTGCGACTAACTTTTGAGGCA